TCACACAATGAGACCTGCCGAAGGTAACACGATCCCAAATAGGTAAGATTACCACATCTGACCACGCACCAGTCCTCACTACCCTCAACCTACACCCCCTCGATCTCCCGCCAATCCACATGGAGGTTGAACTCCTCCCTTCTGGCTGACTCAAGTGTCATATCTACCATTGAGACAGACTTGCACATCTATTTTGAGCTGAACGCTAGTGACGTCCCCTCTCCGATGATGGTTTGGGAAGCTCACAAATGCGTTGTGAGAGGCCGTTTCATATCGATAGTGGCCAAACAGAAGAGGGAAAGACTGGAACATCTGCAGCTTCTGTGCGCCCGCGTCTCTAGGCTGGAATCCCACCACAAAGAATCTCTGGCGACAGAGACCTATCTCGAACTTCTGGAGGTGAGGAAAGACTTATCCGCCCTGCTGGAAACTAAAATCTGCAGAGCATTCGCTCTTCGAAATGGCATATACTACGAAGGGGGCAATAAGTGTGGGAAACTCCTGGCAAGGGCGACTCGCACTCAGAACCTCCGCTCGCATATTCAGGGCATTCGGAAGTCCGACAAAGTGGTAGAATCCTCGCCTCCAGATATTGCTGCATGCTTCCAGAGCTATTACCAGACGCTATATAACCTAGACTCGCTCCAGCCTCGAGACGCGGTGGCACGAGAGGTGCGGTTAACTCTCATCCAAGCCTTTCTCCACAAATCGCAAATGCCCACCCTAGAGGAACCAATTTGCCCAGTCCCTAGAACAACCCATTACGGAGTAGGAGCTGGCTCTGGCTTTTTCCCAAACCAAACCAGGTAAAAGTCCGGGTCCGGACGGCTTCTCGGCACAATATTACAAAACCTTCCAGGAGATCCTTAGCACACACTATTTCTGCTTATAACTGTATCGATGGCCAAACAGTTCTCCCCGCCCAAACACTGGAAGCACACATAACTGGCATACCCAAGGAGGAGAAGGACCCACTGCTCTGCACCAGCTATAGGCCGATTTCGTTCCTCAATGTGGACTTGAAGCTGTTCACCAGGATCCTGTCGAACCGCCTTCTCCTGCTCCTGCCCTCCTTGATAGACCTTCATCAGGTAGGATTCGTCCCTGGCCGCGAAGCTAGGGATAACACTATCAGAGCCATTGACTTAATCCACTGGCTAGAAACGCACCATAAAGGAGCGGTCTTATTCTACACAGACGCGTAGAAGGCGTTCGACAGGGTCGCCTGGGACTTTATGCTAACAGTTCTTCAGCACATCGGTCTGGGCCACCACATGCTGGACTAGATCCGTGCGGTCTATTCCCGACCTTGGGCTAGAGTGCGTACCATGAGTTGCCTATCCCAACCTTTTCACATCACCAATAGAACACGCCAGGGATGCCCCTTGTCGCCCACCATTTTTACCCTGACACTGGAACCTTTCCTCAGACTGATACAAAATGACCCCCAGATACATGGCATACGCATGGGTGGCCACGAACACAAAGTTGCAGCTCATGCGGATGACATGCTGTTCTTCCTGACTGACCCCATGACGTCCCTACAGAGATTACGATCCTTGTTCTTGGAATATGGTACACTGTCTAATCTTTCCAATAATTACACCAAATCGGAAGCACTTAACATTGGTTTACCTCATGAGACTGCTCTGGAGCTGAGGAGTGCCTTTGCTTATCGCTGGGCCTCCTCGGCAGTCAAATACTTGGGCATCCACCTCCCAGCCTCATCCTCGGAGCTATTCCGCCTAAACTTTGTGCCCATGACCCAGACCATCACCTAGGACCTACACCGATGGAGGTCCCTGACCTGCTCTTGGTTTTTCAGGGCGGCCATAATCAAAATGAACGTCCTCCCGAGACTTCTGTATCTATTCCAAGCAATCCCCATCCAACTCTCCAGACCGTACCTTAACAACCTTGAGACGACATTTAAACGCTTCACCCAAGAATTGCATGGTCATTACTGAAACCCCCGAGATCCATGGGGGCCTTGACGTGCCAGACATATCGGGCTACTACTTAGCCTCCCATCTATGCCGGATCATTGACTTGCATGTGAATGCCCCGTCTAAATTGTGGGTCACCATGGAAACACACTGGGACAATGCACCCCCTTTGACGGCTCTAACGCGGCTTCCTCAACGACATAGTCCCCCGCACATCACCACCCACCCTTTAATTGGAGCAACCCTGAAGGAGTTCTCCACCCAGCGAAGAAGGGGCGTCCTCACAAAACCGGACAGTCCAATGACCCCCCTGACCCATAACCCGGAGCTAGAACGAGACATCCCAGAAGACGCGTGGGAATTGATCTGCGCTGGGGCCCATAAAAGCTCAGTGAGTTGTAGGACCCAAGAAACCAATTTCAAAATCCTATCACGCTGGTAAAGAACCCCAGCACTCCTCCATAAACTTGACCCTGCAGTACCAGAGACCTGTTGGAGATGCACCTCGGCGCAGGGCACGCTCCTCCACATTTTCTGGGAGTGTACCTTTCTCCGAACTTTTTGGAGTCGGGTCCACAAACTCATCGGTCAAATAATGGGGGAACGACTTGCTTTCATCCTGGGGTGTATCTGCTCCAACTCCGGGAGGAGGGAAATGGAGGACCTCAAAAAACTCCCTACAAACACCTGATCAATGCAGCTAGATCACTGATTCTGGACTCTGGAGAGAGGTGAGGCCTCCATCTCTCACCGACTGGATTACTCAGGTGAACTACATCGCTGAAGGAAGAACTCCTTTTCACCAAACAAGACAAACTTACCAAATTCTACTATGGGCACCTTGGACCCACTTTTGCCAGGGAAAGACATACGCGGAACTCATGCAAAAACCCACGTAGAAGACTGACGTGCACGCATGTTACCTACTGAATCTCGGTGACCCCCCCCCCTTCGGGTGCGAGGGATACTACTCCCCGCGGGAGGGTGCTCTTCATGATCTCCCCCCACGACAACGCATCCTCTTGCTCGCTCTAGAGTACTAGGTGGTTTTACCACTGGGGACTCCCTCCTTCTTGTTTCTTGCCTTTGCTACATCTATACTTTTATGTGACCCCCCGTCTCTTAATGTCTGTATTGTGTCAGTCCCTGTTATTACCTACCTGATGTCACGATGGCTGCCACAGGCCAAGTATATAACCGGCTGGGCTTAGGCCACTGACCTGCAGGCTTGATAATTCTACATATTCTCCCCAAAGTCCTATGTAATAGGCAGATGTTCTTAATGTGTAGCAATGTGGCCGTATCAAGCAGGACTTGCCAAACAGAAGGTCCTCTCTGTAATGTGTAATGGCCTAACCTAGCTGCCTGACAGTTACGCGGCACCCCGCTTGAATGATGTAATGTGATATGTATTATGTGATATGTTTGATCACAATGTATGTCATGTATTGGTGTGATAAAACAAAAATGTTAAATGGAAAAAAAAAGTCCTCTGTATATTAACTTGCAAAAGAGACTCATGAAAGGACTATTAAAAAAATGCTAGAGGCCCAGCTTGCAACATATACACCACATTAAACGCATGATCCATATGCATACGACCCGGATCACATATGTAATGTATACCAGAAATGTACTTACAAAAATCCAATATAATAGAAAGACAAATCCATATGTCAAGTATCCATTTCATTGGTTGGGGAGATTCGCGAGAGCGCCATGATTTGATAGCTGCCCAATTAGCGCCTTGAGATATACCCAGGGGAATTAGCTTTAGAGGCCAATCTGGAAGTGAGATCATTGGCAAATCAAAAGTTCTCAATTGTCTGAATACAGCAGATCTACCTTCCTTCTGGGCTACCATATGGAACGGGTATCCCCAGCGATATTTCACACCACACTCTCTTAGCACTTCTAATAATGGACTAAGGTCTTTCCGAAACAACAGAGTTTACAGTGAAAAATCCAGGAAAAGGGTCACTGTGTATCCATCATGCGTTATGGGTGCTTTAGATCTAGCTGCTAAAATAGCTTCCATCTCTACAAAGAAGTTAATGCGGCATATAATGTCCCTGGATTTAGAAGGATTGTCTTTTAAAGACCAGGTACCCTATGGGCCCTGTCAATTAAGTCCGAATCTAAAGATCTATCCAGGAGGCTATTGAACAGGGCCTTAAACGTTTGCAGGATAGCCGAGGCACCAACAGTCTCTCTGATGCCTCAGATGCGTATATTATTTAGTCATCTCCTGTTCTCCATATCATCAAGCCGGTACACTACCTCCTGGATTTGGATTGTATGATCATTTAATAGCTTGTTGATGAGTGTCAAAGCGCATAGAAAATATATCTACTGCCCCCTCTAATTCACTCACGCGACCTCCGATCTGTGTGATATCTGCTTTCAGAGTCTCCAGTTCCTCCCTGTAAGTAGCCTCTAAGCTGGAGACATAAGATTCCATGTCCGCATGCGTGGGGAAGGAGCTCAGACAGGCACTGACATCCTGATTCTCCATACCAGTAGATGAAGCAGGAGACACACTGCGGGAGCTATGAGATGTCCCAGCCAAAGCTGGAGAAGGAGGAGAGTCCTGGAGTGCTGGAGAGGGTGAGGCATCTTAGGACCGGGAGCCAGCTGTGGCTGCATCTGAGAGGGGAGTTTCTGTTTACTGAGGCTCGAAAAGCCAGCGTTAAAGGAGCTGTTTTTTCCTCCCCATCTCCAGGAGCAGTAGTGGATGGCTGTGTAGCTGGGCAATACCAAATAGCTGGAGCTGTACAGGAACGCGCCTCACCGCGCCATTAGCGAGACATGCCACCCCCCACCTCACCGTTCCTACAATTTTTTAAGTTTGATGACAGGGTCACTTTTATTCCGTGCTTGCTTTGATTGAATAACAGGATGGAGCCATTCATAAAAGGAATATGTAATTCTTCCTTCTACATTTCTTACTAAATTGTGTGTGTAAATATATGTTTGTGTGTGTATTATATACAGTATATATAATGGTTAGGAATGCAGCTGATCTGTATTACATATTTTATTTATTTTTTACAGCATAAAATGGAATGACATTCAGAAACAGCTGGAGGTTTTTGCTTCTATTGCTGATATGTCAAAAGGAGGAAGAATTGGAATTGAAGAATTTGCCACCCACTTGAAGTTACCAGTATCTGATGTATTACAAGAGTTGTTTGCATTGTTTGACAGGGTATGTATTACACAAATACCTACAATTCCTATACAGTTAGCTTTGTAGCTACTGGGGCTTACCAGTCTTCTATTTACCTAGTTGTTGGTTTGAGCGTTTAGCATTCATGTCTTGTATAAATAAAACTATATAGAATAAAAGTTGCATAACCCTTTCTCTGCCAGATTTTTTTTGTATTATTTACTTACACAGTACTTGAAAATGGACTTGAAAATGCTGCATATTAGTTTAATTGGAACTTCTCTCTCATTTATGTCTGTGCTATAAATTAGTGTTTCATTTTTGTTTGCTGGTGCATAGGTCTATTTAAAACACACTGCTTAATGAGTGATATGAGGGACCAACCTCCTACATGTCTCTTGTTACTACGGCTATTTGTTGATTATCAGTTAGAAAAAATAAAACCACATGATAGAAGCTACATCTTGGCTGTTTTATTAGAAAGCCCAGAATATATTGCAATTACAATGCCAAGGAAGCACCCAGTATTACAATGTTAAAATTACACTTTAATGATAACATAAACTTATGGCTGTCTGTGTCCTTGCTAGGGAGAATAATTCACTCTATTCGTGTTGATGACCTTTGTCTCCATTGCAGAGTTGTCACAGGAAAAGGAGATGAGGGGGGCATTTTCCAATGGATAAACCTGTTCTCATGACAGCAATCTAAAAGGCATTATCTTCTCTTTAAAAAAAGTAGATCAACAATAGAGACAGGCAGCTGAAGTTTAGCAAAGGCAGCTCCTTTATATCTCTGTCAGGGTACCATGCACAGGCGTCCTCACACCACATGTAGGTACCCACGCAGGATGACCAAATTAATATGCCCACACAGGATAGGGTTCTATGCACACAGTTTATTTGTTACACATCAACAAAACTACAAACCCCCTCAACCCCCACAGGTTTAGCAGTAAAGTAACAAACCCACCGGCTGTAGGTGTGTGGGACAAACACACACCTAAAGCCAGGGGGAATAGCAACAAGGAGGGGTAACAGGCCTGCAGATATACGGCAGGCCTCAGGATACAAGAAGAGTGGTCAGGTACAAGCCGGGCCGTTAACAGGAGGGCAGCGGGGTACAGGAACAGGATTCAAGGAGAGTGGTCGGGTAACAAGCTGGGTCAGTGACAGGAGGGCAGCGCGGTACAGGATTCAAGGAGAGTGGTCGGGTAACAAGCCGGGTCGGTGACAGGGCTGCAGATAGGAAGCAGGGTTCAGGTAGCAGGGTTCAGGTTCCAAGGCACAGGCCAGGGGAGTCAGGTGCAGGCGACGCAATACTGAGCTAGCTTCCTGACTGCAGGGAGGGCCTAAATACCCTCCCAGGAAGCACCAGGTGATGGGATGATCAGTCACAGCTGGGGCACACCCACAGGTGAGTACTGGAGCTGCAGGTTCCTGACAGTTCCTGGCTGCTGGAGACACCCATAGGCGAGCACAGGAACTGCAGGACCTGGCTCCAGCGCCACCTGGGGGTGCTCCGGATCCTGACAATCTCCCATGGTAGGTTTGCTTTAAAGAACACATGGAGACTGAAAGCGGTGCCAGTATTGTCTGTGGGTTCCGTGCAGCTGATCTTCACTTCATTACTAACTTCCTATTCCTTTTTCCTATGCCTTTTATGCCATGCACTGTGCATTTTTGTGGAGATGACCATTTTGGTGGTGGCATAATATCAACTAATCTCACTCCTCATCTCCTAAGACTAGTAGTCACAAGCAGCAGTGCCTCTGACACAGCAGATACAGTATACAGCTGTGTTACTGTAGAAACAAGGGTTCCTAGGCACAATTCCATACCAGGGAGTGCACTGCTTTCTTTCAGGAATCATTCAAGACAAAGGGTACATTTTTCAGGAAACATTTTAGATGCACCCTATAACATAGGAAATCTTCACTTTTCGTTCCATTTTAATCAAAAAGAATTGGACACCAAAGAGCCATCTATTCTTTAGCAAAGGTTCCTGGTTGGGGAAAGGTTTGTGTGGTGTCTTTACTTCATCACAGCCTTTCAATATATGCATTTACCTATATTTTATATATGGGAACACACCTTCTTCCTGAGCTTCAATCATTTAAAGGTTTCTGAAATTACCCATTTAACATGTCATTAGCACATAATAATATAGCGCAAAAGTCAATTGTATTGAAATTTTATTTAATCAGATTAATATGTTGCATCTGTCCTCCACCACCATTCCTAGAATATATGTTACTCTGTAGGCAGAGAATATCCTGAGGAGCATTCTACTGGTTTCACTGTTACCTACTCAAAAACTTACACAATTGTTGCTACTGAATAGGATGTTTTTCAGGCTTGAATCATGGAACTCCCTTCATTCCAAGGAAAGACCAAGACCTGTTTCTTGCATCACTCAGATGTTATTTTTCCTTTTTGCAAAAAAGGAAATATTTACAAAGGACCTAATAATAATTAACAATACAAAGTATATTTAATACATCCTAAAAGCATAGTAAAAGAAAGAAAATTAAACGGGACCTAACGTGTGTCTCCACTTTTTGTGCTGCCAAAGCCCTTAGCATCTTTCATTCCTTATTCCTTTACATCTCTAGGAAAACTATATGCAATTAAAAAAAAAAGATTAACAACACACACAACATAACACAAGACTAACACATTTTTTAAGCCTTAGATAAAATACAGGCATAATCAGGGAAACTTTTTATACACTATCCTTTTCTAATAAAACAGCCATACAACATGCAGGCAGTTTTGTTATTAACTGTTGTTTTAAAGGTACTCAACCAATACTGGACTTCTCAAAATTGGGGAAATCACAGCCACCCTTACTCTAGCATTACGTCTTTTCCATTTTGGAGTTCAGAAAAACCTGAACAGAGCATTGTTGATCTTATCTTCACTCCAAAGAAAACCTGGGTGAATGACAGTATGCCAGCAGGGGTAGAGTTACAGCTTTAATTACCAAGACCTTCCTATTGATTGATAAGCTTCTCATCCTCCAAAATGCCAGCTTTTTTAATAGCTTATCAATGACCACTTCAGCATTAACATAATTAAAAAGGTTAATTTCAAAGTGTTGTCTAATGAGTTAGTGGACTCTGTAACTGGAATTTTAGCCGAACAAAAGCTCCTGCCTCCACTGAACATACATAGCTGGTTCTTATTCCAATTAAGGTTAGGGCCAGACATTCTTGGAAAAAGTTCAAAGTGCAATTCTGATCTAGCAAGAGCCACATACATACCACAAAGAAAACAGATGTCAGCAGACTTAGCCCTAACATTGTTTTTGCATTGGATAAAAATACCACAAAATATATCCCTCTGAATATATCTGAGTGGCTCCACCACACATAAGAACATAACAGGTAATTAAGGGTACCTCTGCCTCATTCGAGACAGCACACAATCTTTAGGAAAGCATAAAACCTTCAAAGAATAATCCAAACGAAGACACCATATTTTAGGATTTCTTTAAATTAATACGATTCATTGCAAATGTTAGAATAAGGATGGAATACAAGATCCCTCAGCAGCAGAAGCAGGCTGCTAGAAATTCGCTGCCCTGGAATGGCACAATTCTGTCACTCTTCTTTTCTCACCTTTTTAAAAATAAATGTAAAATAAAATATAATATGACTCTAACAGTTGGCCATAGCGGTTTTCTCCTGGGTAGTATGAACTCTTCTGGGTTTAGAGCTGTCTAACCCCACCTGCTCTGACACAGTCTGTTTTCAATCAACTTCAACAGAGTGCAGAGATTTAATTAGGTGTCTAATAGACCCCTGATGTCTCCTTAAAGAGAACCTGTCACCTGCAGTCTTGTTGTGATAGTAAGTTAACTTGGAATTTTTTTTTTGAAAGTCCCCTGCCCTCACAAAAATGCACATATGAATACAAATGGGGACGTCAGGTGCGGACTTGTATGAAAAGTATTGTGCCATACATATTAGGTATTTCTGGGCACACCAGAAAGAGCACTAATTCTAGGTCCATCATTCACTGTTAACTCTAAATTAATGAATTTTAAAGGCTTTTAAAATGTTGCCTATGGACAGTTCTGGGTACTGTGCACAAGCATGCAAAACTTCACATATTGGGTTTACTTGACAGAAACTTATCTTTTTACTAACAAATATGGATATTTTATTATGTTTATGTGCACTTAAATTTATTTAAGTGTATTTTTATACTGAAAATATAGATTTAATAAAAGAAACGGCAATTATCTAGTGAGGGAGGTCGGGGGATGTGGTATATCTGGATTTCGCTAAGGCTTTTGATACGGTACCTCATAAACGCTTACTACACAAGCTAAGAGCTATGGGCATAGATGGAAGGGTGTGTACATGGATAGAGAACTGGCTAAAGGAACGGGTACAGAGAGTATCAATAAATGGCACCCTTTCAGACTGGGCTAGTGTCATTAGCGGTGTGCCTCAGGGTTCTGTGCTGGGACCCATGCTTTTCAACCTGTTTATTAACGACATCGAATAGACAGCGAAATATCAGTGTTTGCTGACGATACCAAAATTGGGAGGGTAATAGAAACAAACCAAGATAGTATAACTTTACAAGAGGACCTGGATAAAATAGGGGAGTGGGCAACTTTATGGCAGATGAGGTTTAATGTTGATAAATGCAAAGTTATGCACTTTGGGACAAAAAACACGCAAATGGGTTATACAATAATGGGTATGCCGCTAGGGAAGTCTGAAATGGAGAAAGATTTGGGGGTCACTGTAGACCATAAACTCAATAATAGATTACAATGCCAGGTTGCGGTAAGCAAAGCTAGTAGAGTCCTGTCCTGCATCAAGAAGGGAATGTTTTGCAGGGATAAGTCTATAATTTTGCCACTTTACACATCACTGGTTCGGCCTCACCTGGAGTATGCGGTGCAGTTTTGGGCACCGGTACACAGAGGGGATGTCCTTGAACTGGAGAAAGTCCAGCGAAGGGCGACCAAACTCATCAAAGGAATGGAGGACCAGAGCTATGAGACACGGTTACTAAATTTAAATATGTTCACGCTGGAACTAAGGAGATTAAGGGGGGACATGATTTTCATGTACAAAATGTTCTATAGTCATAGCGACATTAGCAACAAACTCTTTACGACTAATTACGTAACAAAGACTAGAGGCCACCACCTGAAACTGGTAGAAAAAAAATTCAAACACAAGGGGCGGAGGGGGTTCTTCTCAGTTCGAGCGGTTAGGGTCTGGAACTCGCTGCCTCAAGCAGTAATTTCAGCTAATAGTGTGGAATCATTCAAGAAGCTTTTGGACGATTTCCTGAGAAACGGTAATATACAGGGGTACAAGTACTCCTAATAACGAGATGACTCAGGGATCTATACACACACACACACACACACAATAGGTTGGACTTGATGGACATGTGTCTTTATTCAACCTCAAATACTATGTAACTATGTAACATATAAAAAATTGCAACTGCCATCATTTTATCCTACTGGGTCCCTGCTTGCAGTAAACCTAGCCAAAAATAATAAGATAAAAATTAGTAGCCAATTCAAAAGATAAAATAACAAAACCAGCTTTTATTGCAATATTCACCTTCAGTCCAGAGATTCCCCCACTGTACTTTTTTCTGTTACTAGATGTACCCTGTCTGATGGCCAACATAATTCAACCCACTTCCTGTGACCCAAGTTTGTCCTGGACCAACCCCAGCTTGTGACTAGAAAGTGAAAGGAAAGGCAGCACAGTGATGAGCTCATCTCTGTGTCACTCTGCTTTCTCTTCCTATAAGCATGCATCTTGTCAGCAAATAATCTGTTTCGCATACTGTACTGATTTTTTTCCTCACACACTCCAGCCTTGCTGTACAGGGACTGCCAGAGGCTAACACCAGGTCAAATGCAGGTGCTTACACTGCATGCATTTAAAATAAAAATACATTTAATAATTATTCATGATTAAAGAACTGCATTAGTTTGCATATTTTATATTTGAGTAGAGTTCAGCTTTAAAGCTTCTTACAGCTGTACCAAGATACTTCAGTACACAAAGTAGCAATCTGCCAGACACAATTACTTGACAGTTACTCTCCCCTATGCAGTCCCTATGCTTCCAAAATTAATGAAGCTATAGGTCAGAGCAATTAGGCGACAAAGTAAAAGGAAACTAGCCATGATAAATCCAGTAAATTACTACGTACTCATTCTACTCTACTGGCTTCTCTGTCTGTTGAACAGTCACGAGAGAGCTGGCAAATGCCATAACATCAAGGTCCCCAAAAATGCAGCACAGGCAGAAATATGCCCACATACAGGTCCCCTTACTCCGTTCTTGCTTGTTTACTTAGAAACTCCTCATCCACATCTAGCAGGTGCTATTCTATTGCTGGTTGCACTCCAAACTTACTGCATTTCCCTCATTATCTTTATCACTGGAGAACATTTTGTCAATTAAACAGCAAACAGAGCTGGGTTTTGACCTGGAAGCAAACCTTATATCAAACTCAATTCCCTCACTCAAGTACCCCACTGGTGTGCCTGAAAACAATCAACAGTTCAGAGAGTCATCTCTTCCTCCACAATAACAGAGGGGAGCCATAAAACAGCCTTGGTAGCCTACACATATGTCTGGGGCTCTGCCTTCTTGTCCAAGACATCAGTAGCAGCAGACTGTGCAGGTTATTTGTGCCACCTCATTTTCCCCAAATAAAACAGAAACATTCCTTGCCCTTACCTTTGGATTGGGAGGTCAGCCAAACGGGTTCACATGTCTGGCATCAGGGGGTCCCAAATCAGCTTCCTTCTCCTCTGGCAACTCAATAAATTGCTTTAGCCCCTTCTATAAGGTTTTTTTTTATTGGGGTGGGGGGGGGCGACCCTGAAATATCAAAAATCTGTACTTTTCCATTCTTTGACGTATTTCGCCGTAGCTTTTTCAAGTAGTTTATAGAGGTGGCCTGTAGAATCCATATGAATATAATAGTAAGCACTCAAATAGTTGAAAATAGCAATTAGCTATACATAACACTAACTGATTATGTATTATTACTTCTTATACATTATATGTTTAATTATTATTGTTTTACAACTGATGTATTTAATATGGCTAAACAAGATACATTGTCATGGGGCTTGGGTTCGTGCATTGGGAATGCCATCCATCTCACCCAGGATTGATCTAGCGGGCCGTTCCCCTGTATACAACATTGGGGAGGGTCTGTACCCCAGCACCTCCTCATCTCTGCTCGATCTTTTGAGGTTGTGCTGGTGCAGGTGTCCCGGAGCTGACGGTTCGATTACCGCGCTGACGGGGGGAGGGCTCGGTCCCTGTCGGCGTGAGATGGGACGGCGCGGTTGAATCCTTGGCGCTCTTAAGGGCTCTCTTCTCCTGGCGGAGTGGAGGGACTCCCCTAGATGCGAATCTGCTCGTCCCCGGAAATCTTATACATGGTATTTATGTCTTTATCTCATTCATTGATCTATGTCAGTTAGTGTTATGTATAGCTAATTGCTATTTTCAACTATTTGAGTGCTTACTATTATATTCATATGGATTCTACAGGCCACCTCTATAAACTACTTGAAAAAGCTACGGCGAAATACATCAAAGAATGGAAAAGTACAGATTTTTGATTGGAACATTTAACAATATGAAATTATATAACAGTATGTTGACTGATCTTAAAAATTATATATTGGCTGATCTAATTTATTATGAATTTTACAATTAAATTAAGAGTGTTAATTATTGCTATTTTGCACAATATCAATCTGTACGGATTCCTAGAGGTGACATGCTGTTTATATGTATAATGGTCCTGCTTTTTGATGTGTGGTATGTCTTTTATATGCAACTTTTTGCTAATAATTAAATTATGTTATTAAATATGAATTTTACTATACAATAATGAGTCATGTGGCATTATGTATAACTGCATTTCCTTGCATTGTTTATGAGTCACCTACAAAGCCCCGTTTTATTTCTTTTTGGTATTTACGTCTGCAATATTAACTGAATGCTGTGTGATTTTGTTGGCAGGGCTATCAGTCTGGGGAGCGGGTTGAGGGATGTGGTTGCCATTACCATGCATGTGCACTGTTTGTATAATTAATTATCACCACAGGTTTAAAGTGGAACTACAGGCAAATTCCTTTTAAAAACAAACACTTCAGAAGCATATATGTTTAGTGTTTTACCTAGCAAAGGATTTGTAATTTTGTACATCTAGTGTTGTGATTGCACATCTGCTACACTACAAAGCAAGGCATGTGGCCCTTTTTTTCTAGTTTAGCAATGTAGTGTAGCGCTCACCCCCGAAGGAGCCGCTGAATATTGAAATAGGTTCTCCTACCTGTTGGTTCCAGCTGCCAGTCCCCTTTGATCAGCAACAGCACACCGACACTCACGGACAGAACGGCTCGAGTCTTAGGGTCTTTTTAGGGTATTTATTTGCAACATCAATAGGAGAGAGAGGGTTTAGGGTCTGTAGGATGCCATTTGGAAATACTTCTGAGGACAGCTTTCTCCCCTAGCAACCGCTAAGGCCGAAATCACTGCGATCTGGTCCCAGGGACCAATAGTAGTAGTAGTAGTACTGTGAACAGATACCTGGAATAGGGTGTGGGATCTCCCTTGTGGGTCCCAGACGGACGCTCGCACCAGCTCCTCTGCGGTACCCCTCAACAAGCGGACTCCTCCCCGACCCAGCTTCCATCAGGTATTTTCCTCTTTAGGATCTGGAACTTCTGTGCCCTCAGCATCTGCAACTGCCAAGGAGCACTCCAGTTAAATGAGAGTATCTTCTTAGAACAAGGCACCCAACACCTGCCACGTGTATGGGCCCAGTGAGGTATTTTTCCGTAGCAACAGGATCTGGAATCTCTGTGCCCTCAGCATCTGCAACTGCCAAGGAGCACTCCAGTTTAGTAGTAGTATCTTCTTAGAACATGGCACCCATCACCTGCCACGTGTATGGGCCCAGCAAAGTATCAGTGTATCCTAGGCCTCTAGGTCCCTCAGCACCTGCCATGTGCTGAGGCCCAGGCCAGTTTCCTGCATCACACACAGTCCTCCTAGGGCGAGGCCCCTAGGGGAAGAAAGAGCTCTCCACAATGTCCCCAGACCTTTTATCACCTGCCCTCAACCATGCCTCTGAGTCATCCTACTCAGGGATTGGCTAGGGCCAGGTGCATAGTCATAACCTGAGGGTGGATCCTCCCTCACTGTATACCAAGGCTCCCTTTTCCTCAGCAACAGGAGGAGCAATCAATCCAGCAGACTCAGGGACACCTATAGAATGCAGAGCTCTGTATAATCAGTATCTAGACTGGTTACAGTCCAGGTATCTCTAAATTGAATAGCGACATTTTAGAGGGCGCTACAGTAGCTTCTTGAATCAGCCGCCTTCTTATTAGGAACAAATCTGCATCTTCAACACTGTCCTGAGAAGGATGATCCACTAAGTAGTAAAGCTGAAGCAGAAAGTAGGAGGCTGATTAATGAGTGCAAATCCATATATGCTAGATACTTCTCACTAAGCGGTAAAGGCACATACACTGCTAGGATGAAACTGTGTTCTGCTAGTGAGCTATGTTTACTGGACATCTTAGTATGTGCATGGATACTGGGTAGTCAGCAGTGTGTTTTGGGGACAAGACAAGGGGGAAAGACCAGTGTGTTAATTAGGGTGGAATTTCACTGGTAGAGAGTGCTATAATAACCTAGATTAAGGACTGCAGGCAGGATGCCCCATTGACAAAACAAAAGTGCAGCCTAGGCCTTATTTTTATAAATTAACGTTTGTGACTTTTCTTCTTTCAAGAATAGAGATGGTACCATAGATTTCAGAGAATATGTCATTGGGATCGCCATCCTGTGCAACCCTGCCAATTCTGAGGAAACTATTCAAATGGCATTTAAGGTAATACAGATTATGCTTTTGTATACTTAATATATTCTGCAGCATGACACAAAGTTATCTGTTCACATGTCCTTAAGGAGCTTACAATCTTAAAGGAGAACTATGGGGTCAGTGTTTTCCCCCATAGTTCTCCTTAGGGTAACGGGAGGACACAAACTAGCGTCCTCCCGTTACCCTAAGCTCAGTATACCGCGAGCTACAGCTCGTGGTATACTGAGACGCCGCAGGCGGAGCGGATCCCGACATGGACGTCGAGATCCGCCCAGCTGCGTGAGTGACAGCTGGCTCTGCCTATCTAGAGGCAGAGCCAGCTGTACCCGCCCCCTCCCCCGTCCGTTCCGCCAGTCAGCGCTGGCAGATCGAAGCGGGGAGAGGGGAATCCAGCCCCTCCCCCTGTCACTGCAGAGAGCCGTGACAGGATCGAGAGGTGAGCGAACCCTGTATGTGTTTGCTCACCTCCCGATCTACTGAGCCGACCTGTGACAGTCTCATTGTCACAGGTCGGCTAGAACTATTAGGTGAGTGGAAATCACTCATCTCATAGTTCTCCTTTAATAATCTTTTTGCACTCATATGTTAATTGGCACTCCAATTTGGGTAAAAGGTATTACATTTTTTTGCATATTTTTAGATGGAGAAAGTGAACTAGACTAACCAAAAGAAACATATAAAAACACAAGAAAAACATGCAAACTCCATGCACAAAGCATCTTTGGTGCATTTCCAAGCACATCACACACCTCCTCAAAGCCAATCCCTGTGCACTGATTACAACTTTATTGGCACATGAAGGGTTGCATCCAATCCCTGTGCACTGATTACAACTTTATTGGCACATGAAGGGTTGCATCCATCTAAAGGAAACTGAACTTACACAAGGGGCTTCTATTAAAAAGTTTAAAATTGCTTTCAATTCATAAAGTTCCACAAAGAACACTGTAGCCTTATAATTGCTCATTTGGGTATAAATTTCTTCTAAGGCTACTAATATACTTTACACCTGTGTGGTAAGTGAAAGTGAAGCCTCTGCAAAAATTAGTGTATTTCTCCCTAAACAGTGTCGCACCTGATTTCCAGACCCAACAATTCAGTTAGAAATGTTCCTGCTTGGTGTCTAATTCCTATATTAGTGTCTTGCCAAACACCCATATATGAACACCTGCTTGAGCTGTCTGCTTTGTCAGTCCTCTTTATGCCCACTTGGATATAATCTGGAAGCTGTTTTTGAGCCTAATACTTTAGATCTTTTAAAGTGCTTCTTCTCTCCCCATCCATACCGGAAATAACAACTTCTACGCAACCCTTAAGCTGAGCTTCACCTTCCCCGTAATTCAAGCACTACATTGAACCCTATCTCCACCTAACACTTAACCCTGACACATAAGGCCTAACATATTATTTGATCCTACCACCTAACCCTTAAAGTCAGCCATTCATTCACCCATTCATGGCCCACCCCTGACCCAGTTCTACTTACCTACATAGTATTCCCCCACTGCTACTTCCTCTTTTGCAGCTGTCCCAAAATATCAGGTGTTCGCTGTTGTCAGAGCTAGCTTTGGAGTCATTCCCTCCATCATGTGACAGTGTTAGAGCAGTGTTATAGCAATTAGAAGCTTATATGTTCCTGTATATATGGAAGCATGGGCATTTGTTGCAGCTGAAATAGAAGGAGTCACAGGGGAGCTCTGAGAAGGTGCGTATAACTGTGTTAGAGATTGAGCTTTAATAAGAGCCTGTCACTTAGCCCTGAATAGGCAAGGTGACAAGATTTCTTTAACCTTAACCCTAAACCTAACTCTCAGCCTTACCTTTTAAACTTCACCTTTAAAATTCTAATGCAATCCTTTTTTAACCATTCTATGCTCTCTTTTTAGGGCTTACCTTGATAAAGTACATCTCACTTGTAAAGATTTTACTGTTGGTCTAACAAATACCTTATGGATTAAGTGTGCAAATGATGCATTTAAAATGCTCCTGGTCAGCCCTCCCCCACCACTCCTGGGCTATCTTTGCAATATGGGAGGACAATATCCAGGATACTAAAGGCAGTCAGAGTGTCTATTTCCCCTAGGCTTTGAAATTTAAACAACTGTTCCAGGTCATCCTGCCTCCAGAGAGGTCCATGATCTTCTAAGGTGCTGCCATATGTGGCTCCCCATCCAGACCCAAGGCTTCATGAAAAATATTAACAGCAGTCTGTGGAAATATGAAGGTCATCCCTCGCTATATGGTTTTTAGGTAGGGAATCCACCATCTGCAGTTGGCTGATACTTGGTTCTGCCATGTTTCCAAAGCCTAGGTCGGGGAGGTCTCCTCTGGTCACAAAATTAAATGTACTACTATGTATTTCCCAGGGTTGCTTGCCAAATTTAACATGTTTCCCTAACTCTGCATAACTCCAGGCTTTGCAAATTCTTGCATCGTCTGGCATGGAGTCCACTTTCTTGTTAGTGAGCTTCCAGATGTTCTGTCCTAACCTCTTTCCTAAGACATTCACTGACACATAGACCTCAAGAGTCTCAATGAATTAATTCACCTCCAGAAGTTTCTAATAGAGTCCCTCAGATCAGTGGCAGACTTCCCAGAACAAATAAAATTCCTAAAATGTATTGGATTTCCACAATGCCTTTCTCTGTGGTCCAGGTTTCCTATTCTGAAAATGCACAGCGCTATAATAAACTAAAACGAAACTAAAGGTACAATCTGATGGTCTTCACAATAACTAAATAAAACTGTGCAGGACCACCCTGCGGTGAATCAATACAATATATGGTAAAAATACCTACATAAAACCCATGTACATCATGCCGGCTGGCTCAATGTATGCATTCCTTGAACATGCGTTTGAGGGGGAATACATATGCGCTAGATGTGAGCGAGTTGTTTGTTTGGAAGCCCAGATCCTGTATCTAAACAACAAACTGGCAACACTAAGGAGCATATCCAACATGGAAAGGAGTCTGGACCTAACGCACCAGGCTCTGTTGGAGGGGGGCATAGATGAGGAGGGGGGGTTGGAGGTGCAGGATCCCGAGGTGGGTAGTTGGGTCACCATTAAAAGGAGGGGTAGAGGGAAGAGTGCGAGAGAGGTCAGCCCTGATCTGATTAACCCCAACAAATATGCCAAGTTGCAGGATGTTGGGAATATTAGTGCAGGGGCGACACTGCTATAGCGGGACGCCTCCTCTATCCGCAGGGGGAGTGACTGCTCCAGCATGGATGGGAGCAGGATGGAGGGGCAGGAGAGGCAGATCTTGGTGGTTGGAGACTCCATCATGAAGCGGACAGACAGGGTAATCTGTCATCGGGATCGTGAGCGCCAAACAGTGTGCTGCTTACCTGGAGCTCGTGTTCGGCACATTGCGGAGCGAATTGACAGGTTACTGGATGGAGTTGGGCACGAACCAGCTGTCTTGGTGCACATCGGCACCAATGACAAAATAGGTGCCAATTGGAGTGTTCTAAAAAAGGGGTTCCGAGACTTAGGTGCTAGACTGAAGGTAGTATTCTCTGAGATACTGCCGGTGCCTAGAGCCACTCCAGAGAGACAGCGAGAGTTGAGGGAGCTTAACAAGTGGCTCCAAAGCTGGTGTCAGAAGGAGGGCTTTGGGTCCCTGGAGAACTGGGCTGACTTCTCAGTCGACTACCGGGTCTTCAGCCGAGACGGGCTGCACCTGAATCGGGAAGGTGCAGCATTTCTGGGGGATAAAATAGTTAAAAGACTGGAGGAGCATTTAAACTAGATAACGGGGGAGGGTATAAACATATATAAATTAAATAGTGAACAAGTAAAAATGGGGATAAACAATACGGAGGGGAGTAATATGGGGGTTAATGGGGGGCTCGCTCCAGTCAACCACAAGATCAACAACAAAATTAACATAGATAATGTAGTTAACATTCCAAATTGTATGGCCGAAGTTAATCAAATTAGAAATGATCCGCCTATAGCAAGGCAAAATAAAAAAAGTAGCAGGGAGCAGGATAATATTTTGCATTTTTCGGATAGTAGAACAAAAATTAAATGTATGTACACCTTGTGGCTAGAACTTGATAGGTCGGAGGCTAGCTGTAAACTTATTGTGGGGGTTTGTTATACACACCCAGATATAGGGGGAAGGAGGAGGCTCAGCTGCACTGCCAAATGGAAACAGCTGGGAAGCAGGGTAATATAATCATTATGGGAGACTTCAATTATCCAGACATAAATTGGGGTAATGGAACATCCCATTCGACAAGGGCGGCCCGTTTTCTGAACATGTTGCAAGACAATTTAATGGATCAGATGGTGGAGGTCCCAACTAGGAAAAATGAAATCCTAGATTTAATCATTACTAATAATGGGGAGTGAATCGAGGATATTGCAATTGGGGAGACACTGGGTAACAGTGATCACTATGTGATTACCTTCAATATTTAGTATATAAATATGGTGACCCTGCACTCCTGGGTTAATTATTACTGTGATCTCCAACTTACTTCTGAGGGCCTGTGTCTGGGAGTCTGTGGTAGCCATTTATAGACTCCCAGGAGTCTATGGTCGAGATTCATACATGCAATAAGGTCAAAGCTCTGATCAAAGACTCTTGTACTCTGTGAAAAAGAAGGATGCAGACCTGAGAGATACTGTATAAGGGTTCATAGACGGGACCCCAATGTAAAAAAAACAAAAACAGTGTGCGGTTCCACGGCAATTCATACTAGACCCTTTAGGTCTGGTAGAAATTTTAATGAGGACTCCAATGCTAGAAAAAAAGAAAAAAAATGTGGGTTCCCCTAAAATTCCATACCAGACCCTTAATCCGGGCAGCAGCCTGGCAGGGCAGGAAAGGGGGGGATGAGCGAGCACCCACTACTCCACCATGCCAGGCCACATGCCCTCGTCATAATTTAACTCTTTAGTAAATCAGTAAGGGTACAAGTACCTCTTACTCATTTACAATACATTTTATGAAAGGGGGTACCCAGATGCAGATGGACTCCTCTGGACTAGGGTTGTGGGGAAGAGGTCCCCCCCCCCTGTTAAAGCACCCTCCCAATGCCGAGGGTATGTGGCCTGGAATTGTGGAGGGAGGGGGGTGCTCACTCGCCCCCCCACCCACTACTCGGATTAAGGGTCTGGTATGGGATTATAGGGGGACCCCACTTTTTTTCTTTTTTTTTGGCATGGGGTCCCCCTTAAAATTCCTACTAGACCTAAAGGGTCTGGTATGAATTGCAGAGGGAAGTGCATGCTGTTTTAAAAAAAAAAAAAAATCTAAGGTCCCCCCTAACATTCCTACCAGACCTAAAGGGTCTTGTATAAATTGTCGGGAGAACCACATGCTGTTTTTTTAATTATTATTATTATGGACAGTTTAACACTTTTGTGTATTCTGTGACAGCTGTCAAATTTGTTGTTTACCTTTGGGATCAGAGTGTCAGCAAAGTGGCAGAAGCTGTTATAGAATAACACATATCTCTCAGTTTCTTTCTTTGTTTACATTTTGGAGCAATATTCTGTTACTTTGTTTTCATTCGGAATACATGTCCAGAGTATCAACAAAAAGCAGAAAAGCCAGAGATCGGTAAATTACAGATCTCCTGCTTCTTGTGTTTTGTTCCGAATTAAATTTGTATGCATTTGAATTATGTTATCAAACATTCAGATACATTTGGATTAATTAATTATGTCATTCAGAAATTCGGATGCATCCTAATGTCTGCATTGACAGAAATTCGCACAAATTTCAATTCAGAACGAACTGAATCGCACATGTCTACTACAAGTGCTGTCTGTATACCCCCGTATTGGCTGCCCAATGTAATCATCTGGTGGTCTTTTCATCCTACAGCACTACCAGTGTTCAGTACACAGTTCTCATTATTACAACTATCAACACCTAATATTCACAAAGTCCAGCAGTTTGAGATTTGTAATTGTCATGAAAAGGCATTTAACAAAGCAAGATAAAATCTATAATTATACATCTTCTCATCTGCACACACCATAATTAATATAGAGCACCTGTCCCTGCAGGTTAAGGCTGCACATAACCCAGAAATGTGGGTTACACAAGCCTGTAACAGAATTGTAAGTACATGATCAGGAAGATCACTGATGGAACTGATCCTTGGTGCTGCTCCTGCAGTGCTGTGAAAGTTCAGCTCACAGATTGGGTGATCTGACCTGATGGGACTTGTAGTTTGTGTGCACCGGCTTGTTATATAACATGGCTATATCACCAAACAGCGGTACAGCCAGCCTGGCTCCCTTCCAGCAGTCTAACTAACTGGTGGGACATCCTGAGCTAGCATTGGCTTAATCACCACCTACACATTGCTGTAGCACCAAGCCCTGCATCTTCTCTTACTGGTCCCAGACTGCCTGATGCCCTAATACTTACCTACCAAGGCTCTGTGTGTTGCTCTCATCTCCACTGTACAATGTAGCAATGGAACCTCCCAGTCACAGGGCAGTACATCACACTTGCTACACTGGTGGTAGCAATGCCACTACACACATGTGATAAGGAGGATACAGCTCAACATGGTGCCCCCCATTACCCCATGTGAAAACAATGTGCCTGGGGCAGCTGCCCCTCATCCCAGCCCTGATTAAACCTTTTTGGGGTGTACACATCAGAGGTTGGTACTATTTAAAGTGATTTCTTTACCTGTTACATCTAGCTGTTTGATGTAGACCAAGATGGAAGCATAACAGAGGATGAGTTCAGCTCTTTGTTGAAATGCGTTTTGGGAGTCCCTGACCTTGAAGTATCTAATCTTTTCCATGATATGGATGCTGACAAATCAGGAAAGATCACCTATGGTAAGAAAGTGATAAGCAGCTCTTCTATGTTTGATTATTCTAGTATAACAGAAAAATAGAAATGTTATTATAATGAACATATGGTTTACAATATGTATACTGGTCATTTCCCAATCACTGTACCTTAACTGTTTACAATCATTGTGCATGACATAGATAACTGGCTTAAAAATAGCATCGTGGTCTAAGTTCTTTAGTAGTGTACCCCTAGGCTCAGTGTTGCAACCATTACTTTTTAACCTGTTTATAAGAGCAGGGGACTGCAGACTTTATAAACAAAGGGCCAGTTCACTATCTGCCAAACTATTTGGGGATGGACTATGGCCAGTAGGAGAAACAAAATGCCCTAATGTCAGAGACCAATGGGAGAGCCTTTATTGTTTGTGGCAGTCAAACTGCCCCTGCATCAGTGGTCAGTGGTAGTAAAAAATCCGCTGCATTAGTGGACAGTGGGAGTAAGAAATTCCCCTGTGGTCATTAGTAGTAATGGCACCCAATGGTTGGTGCAAGTGAGAGTAATGCTGCCCCATCATAGGTGTCAGTGGGTGGAAAAGTTTTCCATCATTGGTGTCTGTGGAATATGAAAATTCCTTCCAGAAATGGTGTTCAGTGGCACTTGCCATGTCCAATTCTACTTCCTGTGATGATGTCATGCAGGCATCATCGGCCAAGAGAACACTTTGCTCCAAAGTGCTTAAGATACATAGCTTGGAGCTGAAATGCTCTGAATTCCTGCGCCTGGCATTTCACAGCTTATGCTAGTTTGCAATGAGAAAGTCCTGCATGCAGGACCTTCTCATTGTAAAGGAGAGTTTACAGCAAATATGGAATTTGGTGGTAGATATACATATCAAGATATTTCTGTGTTTGCAGATGACACAAACTTATTTAGTGGAATGAAGTCCTTACAAGATGTCTCTTACTTACAATCTGACCTGAATGCACTTTAGAGCCAGAGCCAGTTGTGCCCATTCCTCCCCTGTCTGTCCCTTCAATGGCACTGGGAAATAGAGAGCGGAGGGGGAAATTCTTGCGGGGAGCAGTAAATAACAGTCACCTGCAGGGAGTAGACAGAGAGCTGAGCGATCAGTGGTTCATGATTGCACAGTTCTCAATCTATAGAACTGTCATGTGACACCTGCAGTATCCCACGCCGGCTCTAAGTATTGTGAAAAGTAAAATTTACTCTCCCAATACTTCTCCTTTAATAAGATGTATAAACTCTAGAGAAAGAAACATAATCTTGCCCATTTTTGTGTGGTGGAGTTCCCCCTTACAATTCCTACCAGACCTAAAGAGCCTGGTATGACTTTTGGGGGGAACCCAGACTTTTTTTAATTTTTAACGTGGGGGACACTCTGTGTGCTCAGAGGTTTAACCCTCTGCATACTGAAATGTTTTTTACAGTAAAAGCTGAACAAAAAGTAATAATGCTGATGGACCTGATGGAGAACTGCAGCAGAGGGCGGGTACAATGCTAGTTTACTATTGGCTATTGCAAATTGAAATAGCCAATAGGAATCTAGCAATGCATTCCAATGGGCAAAAACGTTTTTGTTTTGTTTTTTCTATTCTGACACGGCTCCGTGTCAGAATAAAGAAAAAAAAGAAACAGCAGTGTTTCTCTCCTTGGCGGCCGGGAGCAGGGACGCTGATATCTCTGCAAGTGGCCGTAGCCAGCCGTAACATCATGGCTGGCTCCGCCCAGCTGTCAGAAGCAGGCTTTCAGCGCGGCTCAGCCGAGCCGATGCATATGCGTTCGGCTCGACTGAGCCGCTCGGCCACGTTCGGGAGCTGTACGGGCTATAGTGAACAGCCCGTACAGCACCCCTTTGGTTCTACTGAACCGAAGGGGTCCTGGGGCCGAAGCTAGCCGAAGGATCGGCCGAAGCTACGGCTAGATCCTTCGGCAGCTTAGTGAATAGACCCCTATGTAATCAGCTAGACTGGATACAGTCCTAGCACAACTACATTTAAGTAGTCATCCCACTTAGGGCAAGGTGGCAACAAATGGTTAAAGAATAACTCCATCTTTCTTACCATGTTTCATGTTACACCCCTATTTAGGGTGTAACATGAAACAGGATCAGATCCACAGCCCCCATCCCCCAAAGGGAATGCTGGGGTTGTTGTCCAGCATCCAGGCATCTTTTACATCTGGTGCAGCTGTGTGGGGCTCCTATTAAAGGATCTGTGAATGGAGAGATTACAAATCCCATCTGGCACCATGGCAGAAATTAAAGGATCTGTGAATGGAGAGATTACAAATCCCATCTGGCACCATGGCAGAAAGACTATCAGTTCCTTATGGAGTACAATTATGTCACTGTTCACAGATGCTCACACTTTTAAACCTAGTTGTAATTCTTATTTAATAATTTGATTAATTTCTCAAATTTTATATAAACTTTGCAGATTATTTTGTGTCTGCGTACACAAAAAATCTGTGTGTGTTTAAAAGATTGTATTTGCAGGATATACAATATCTGGACTACCATTTTATTGTTTACCATTACTGTTTTTGCGTTGGGGTAGTGGGGGTCATTACTGAACTTTCTAGTCTATAATGTGAATTTTTTTCACATTTTGAATAGCGTAGGTAAATGTAAAAGTTTTGCTGAATTCAACTGAATTTTTGCTGTTTATGCCACTGTTGTTGAGATTTCACATATGTGTCTGTCTTGGGAGGAAGTGAGGGAACAAAAAAAAAACTTACAGTTTCTAATAGTTCCTCACACTACTAAAATGTTTATCTGTTGCTGCCCTGATAACAACACAGGAAGGGAGTATAAATTTCCAGAAAAATAGCAACTGTTCATGGATTGTAATCCTTCACAATTCTATCCAAAATGTAAATAAAGTTTGCCCAGAGTATCTTACAACAGCAGTTTTTATTTGACATGATAATAACTGGAACATTTTGTCAGCGTTTTTTTTTTTATGTGTTTCAGAGGAGTTCAAAAACTTTTTCCTGAAGCACCCAGAATATGCTAAACTGTTTGTAACATACCTGGAACATCAGAAATTTTACATGCATATGTTACAACAAAAGGAAGATGAAGAGAACCTGTTGGAGCCTCATATTTCAGAAGATCAGGACAAAATGAATATTAAAGATGAAACTACAACAGGCAAGAAAGAAGACTGATAGATGAGCCATATATTTCAAAATGCACTGGATTATTTTTTAAGAATTCTGTTCTTTTTTTTATTATTCATTGTAATTATAAAATTTCAAAAACTATTGATTTATATATGTTTAGGTGAAATAAATGATGCTCTGCTTTTCACTTGCGAATCTGGATTTGAAAGAGAAACCATACAATGTATTGGTATTGGTTTCATCTCACAGATGTAAAAATATTATTATAGGGTACTTCCTTATAATTTCTGGTACCTATTTTATTACTGCATAATATAATGTCGTCATAATAAATTTAAATATTAATATATGTGGCTAATACTGTTCCTAAATGAAAATGGCAGTCAAGGTACATATCATAAGTAAACTTGCATTATAATAAACTCTGTGTGCTTAGTTTTTCATTTTTGTCTGCGGGTTGCAGCAATACCTACAACAGATTAAAAAACTTTAGTTTGAAGCAACATTTAAAAATTCCCTTGGGAGCAACATCTTTAAAAAAAAGGAAGTTGATAAGGAAGGACTAGTATTGAGTCAAAGTAGAAAGGGCCTTATGCAAAAATAAGTGAATCGCTTGTTCGGTAAATGTACACATAAATTCGTAGCAGATCAGATACAATTATTTCTCAAAGGTTGTGTCATTACTGGCCAGAATATTCAATTAAGCATGCAAATTGTAGTAAAAATGTGGTTGACTAACATATGGTTTTGTGTTAGAATGTCTTGGTACATTTGCAGTGCATTCATTTGTTTTTTTTTAGAATTTTCACCTCTTTATGGGTCGCAGAAAACGTCCACACTGCAGATACCACCTATCAGCTAGCATATACTTAATATGCAAAATGAGGCCTAGAGCTCTAAGGTTTGGTGTGACCTGTGGAACCACTGCTTGGCATTGGCAACAGCAGACCTAAATGTGAAGACACAGGGCCCAAACACCCAAACAATTACAGCTACAACCCTCAGGTATAGGTGGGTAAAAACTGGACAGTGATAAAAGAGTTCACAAGCTTTATGTGGAAACTGAAGCCACGGGCAATTATTTTTCTATAAAAAGTACATCCTTTGCAGCTCACCCCAATGCACGATACACCACTACAGTGCATTGTGGTGCACTGCATCAGAAAAAATGCTGGGTATGAAGTCAAACAAGTTACCTCTAATGATGATTATACCATTTGTGTATTACTGCTGTTTACCGTAAAAATCTTAGTTTCACTGATGCCAGAAACTACTGTCAGCAACAATGACAACACTGTAAGGTACTTCTGTCTGGAGGTATATTTAGGTCATTATCTTGTAGCAGGATGAACCACTGAGCCATAAGCTGTGGTAAGCTTTTTTGGTTCAGGGTCTCAGTCAATCCATTTTTGAAAGTGGCATTACACACAGAGGAACCCTGCTTTTGCCAACATCATGCCATACAAAAATCCTGCATGATAACTAAATATTTTATATGTTGGCTCATTGCCTGATCTTCAGCCTTTCCTAACCTCCTATTTTCTTATTTCATATGGTAAACTCCCCATTAGCCAATATTCAAGATATTATTTTTCTGCTGGTGGCTTGGTGCACACTAAAAAATGTCTAAATTGTTTGTTTCAACTTGATGCCAGCCAGCGGCTAGATTATGCAGTCGGCAGCAGAATGTAAACAATGGGGAGCAATAGCCAGCCTGCTATTGGTATTTGCAACTTGAAATAGCCAAAGAGCAGGCTGGCTACTGCACCCGCCCACTGAGCAGAGGAGCGGACCTGAGAGAGAACGTTCTCTTTCAGGTCTGCTCCGCTGCTCAGTGGGTGGGGTTTCAATAGACAGTCTGTTGTTGGCTATCACAATTTTTAAATAGCCAATAGCAGTCTAGGTATTCCTACCAGCTGCTTACATCCACCTGTTGGCTGCTGAAGCTGATCCCCGTGGGTGCTAGATAACTGTGAGTTAGTTACTTTGGTCTGATTGTGTCTGAACTGACACAAGTGTCAACCCCTAGCCAATTTTGGTTTAACATCCAGAGCACCAGTAGCTCTCGAAAATACCAGACTGTGCTAGAGCTTGCAACTTGGTTAGGATCTTCAGTAGTCCATTCATGACATTGATGATCCACTTCTGTCTATGACACAATCCAGTTTACAAGCCAGATAATGCTGGCTAATATCTCAGGCTTCCCAACATTTACTTTTGAGAGGAGAGAGTTGTAAAGCTTATGATCAACAGCTAACACTCTTGGATGAAAGTTTTTCTTGGAGAGGGCTTGCTCCTTTAAGGTAGTTAGCTTCCCTATGCTTTAAGAGTTCTCCCTATCTTCGGTCTTCTGAGAGGATTTTCCTTTCTTTAGACCAAAGAGTCTAATATATATCCAGACACACTTGATGAATTGTACTTCTGCAATTGTACCAATACAATTTTTTTTTACTTTCAGCTTTCTTGACCACCGTGTGCTCAGATCATGTTGAGACATCATGCAATAGAGCTTGTTTTTAATACCTTACAAACCAGTCTGGAGACACTTCAACTGCGATAACTTCTTTACTAAACTCAACAGCTAAACTGCATGCACACTCTAGCAGATTCTAACAATAACACAGCACTGCAAAACTGACAGACCCTGTGACATAAAGCTGTTTTCATCTTCTTTTTCTCAGTATCCAACTTTAACTGTCTCTCACCTTTATTCTGCTCTGTTCTACCTTAATTTTATTCCTTTAGCTCTCTACCAGTTGCTCTTTCATGGTGGCTGATCTGACCCGTAGATGTAGCTATGTGGGAGGAGTCACAAACAGATGCACCATTTAAAAAAAAAGCCCAGAATATGGGAGTAACATGAAACATGGTCTGAAAAGAAAACTTAGTGGGTTATTCACAAAGCTGATGAAGGCAGCCGTGTGAATAACCGACCCGAAGTGAAGTGAGCCGAATGCTATTCACTTCAGGCTTATACAGCTGATATCAGCCGTATATCGGCTGAAATCACCCGTATATCGGCTGGCTTCGGGTCGGCCGAACATGCGCCATTTGGCTCGGCTATTCTGCTGGGTACCTTCGTGGGACCGAGCAGAATAGAAAAACAGTAAAAAAAAAAAGTAGAAAATGATTGGGCGGATCTAGCAGTGACAGCTAGCTCCGCCCAACTGTTTTCTATTGGCCGGGACCAGCTGTCATTACAATGAGAGTTCAGCAGAGCCGGCCGTGATATCAAAGCCGGCTCCGCGGAGCTCTCATTGTAATGACAGTTCAGCGTCCCCTGGTTACATAGTAACCAGGGGACGCTGAACTGTCATTACAATGAGAGCTCCGCGGAGCCGGCTTTGATATCACGGCCGGCTCTGCTGAACTCTCATTGTAATGACAGCTGGTCCCGGCCAATAGAAAACAGTTGGG